AATCTCACCATTTTGGGGGCCAAACAATCTCCTTCTTCGAAAGATACTGTGGAAGTGGGCACTTTTAATTTTAATGAGCTGGTCAGAAATTCTCACTTGAATTAGTGGTCTGCACCCTTTGAATGGTTACTAAGTGCTTTACATTCCATTCACAATAACTTGAGTTCAAAACCGAAGACTTTCACTAAAAGTCCATTAATTTTGGGCCATATCTGTCAGTGGTCATTCTGGTCCAAATTATGATTTTAAGAAAATTGGCTCTTTGGACATCTGTGGAGCAACTTAAGTTCCTGGGCACCAAGTTTTGTAGCTGCCGTACCACTGATGAAAAGCATCTAAAGAAATTCAGGACGAACCTAGGAGGACGCAATTTAAAGTGGGTAAATTTGGTAAATAATACACTAAAAAATTTTACCCAAACTAAATAGCGCCCTCCTGTGGTGTTTATCGTACCTCAATAGTGAAGGTAAAGTTGTACGCCCAGTTACTGGAGGGAAAATGACCGTTCCCAGAATCACCAATTCATTATTTTTTGTAATGAATTTTTTGTAGAATGAAACAGCATGAAAGCCTAAGAAATCAAAATGGACAGTTTAAATTCATATTGCGCTGTTTGCTATGAAAAATGGGCATGATGACGAAGTGCTTCAGCCAATGTACGTAGGGGCCAGCTAAAAAACCGATTATCAAATGCACGGTCCGGAAGGTGACGTAATTCCTTAAAAGTAACTGCTTCAGTGCAAACCATCATCCGTATCAGAAATAAAAACACTTGAAACGTCATATTTTTGTATTTTTGATCATACAACATTGCTGTACATGACAATTTGATCACCTTTCAAACGTAACTTTCCAGTCACTCGGAATAATTTCCCCTCAACCATAGGTCCAATATTGATTAAGAGGAAACATTTCGGCACTCATTTGTGTTTTAGCAGCGAAAAACAGTATTTTTGAGACCAAAATAGATTGTATTTTTAAGTTTTTCATTTTGTTATAGATAGATTATGTATGGACAGGAGAACCTCCCGAATTTGGTATAATTATGCTTTCAAAGGATACTGTCCATTACTTTCGAATCAAAAAGTTCCCCTCCCCTACCCTAGTCTCGCGTGCTAGTACCTGTCAACTGTTTACCCACGCCGACAGTAGCTACTCATTTTGAATATCACTTTGAATGAGATATAGGGCCTACAAGGGACGTCGACGGATCCGTGAATCTTCAGAATGGGAAGTATGCTTGATGTTGGAACTTTAAGTGGAAAGGAATATAATGAAGACGAAGCACAAATCTAGGTAATTGAATGGGGCAGGAAATATTGCAAAAGTCCGTTACTCGTTAGACGTGAAGAATATGGAATATGAATTAGTTGCCTCTGGTACAGGATCGATGCATCACCCACAGACATTGAAAGCTTCATGACTTCAGAAATGGTATGGTCAGCCTCGTTTGAGAGAAGTTCTTTCATTAAAGAAATTGTAAGATTTTTTTCAGACGAAACAACCTCGCTTGGGCTCCGAGTCAGAACTATTATACGCAACTGTTCAAAAAGTTCTTTTGTCCCCTCTCAATGTTGACTATATGTGATGCTTTCATCCAGGCTTGCATGACTGAGCTATAGGACATTTTGATAAACTACAAGACCTTCGATTTAAGCGTCCATAATGCAGCACTGTTTTTCTTGATTTTTCACAAAGCAGTTGACTCAAACGGAAACAAATGAGTCAAATGTAAGTTGCAGTGAATATTATACACCGTAATCAGCCAATCTTGTGAAGTTAAGACAAAAAAAACAAAAACAAAACAATGATGTACGCCACCTTTAATGCCAAACTCAAAATTGGCTTTTGTTCACGAGAAGCACTCAGCTGGGTGTGTTAACTTGTGTGGTGTGATATTTATTGTGATACGAAGAGAGTTCAATTTGTTCAGAATAGAGTTTTCGAAAGTATCGTGGGTGGTCTATATGCGGCACCGTAGATTGATCACGAAGGACAGATTGGTGAACTCTTTGCGATACCTTTGCGACGTCAGTAAAAAAGCCGGATCCTAATCTTACCCCAGAGGACTTTTTACTTGCTGCGTCATCCCAGGAATTTATCCAGGGGGGGGGTTTCAGGCCAGATATTTTTATGTCTCATTTGGGTGGACAAGTAGAAACGATGATGCAACATTATGCATGACGTGGTGAACTATTTTCTTTTATCTTCACCGCTTTTTAACGTGTTTCCCCCTGTCTTACAGGGGGGGGGGCGACTCAAACAAGGTTCACTCCCTATATACCTCAAGGCACTTGAGACCTACGAAACAGCTGAAACAGCAGAGGGACAAGTTAAGAAATCATGCAATGAGCTGCCACAGCCACGCTCTTCTCGGATGGCGGGGGGGGGGGTTCCCACGGGCAGTATATTGAATCATGGAGGTAGATTCTACCTCCATGATTGAATATACCAGCCAACTGTACTTTATGGCATGCGGTTAACCGCAGTGGTGATAAGTTTTTCCCACTCACTGAGGTTAAATCAGCGTAAATCATCGTACATGTGGTTCTCAGCAATCCATTTATAGTAAAGAGAAGTTTGCCAATATTTGAAATGATATATGTCTTTGTCTATAATTGCTTGCCTTAAGAATGCTTTTTTGGATTGGTCCATGTTTTCATTACTGGAATAGCCGTTTTTGACGAAGAAAAACCGGCCTACCACATCTCGGATCACTCTAACCCATACAGGCTTGCTTTATAACTTCATTCTTCGACAGTGCTGTTCTTGAAGACTAAACCCGCTCAATATGTAAGCCTACATTTTTCGTCTAAAAATCTGTAGGGCTTATATGTATTTCTTTCATGTTTTGAGTTGGTCATAGATTATAAGTCAAATAGCACGTATAAATTTAATGCTCAAACCGATAGAGGAGCCTTTGAAAGTTTCTGCCTCGTCCCTAATTTTTCTAATTGACTTAAATGGACCCGTAGTTTCATTGCGTTTATGCTATGCATTTCAAAAGCTTGTGCCAGAAACCTGGAGAAGTGACCCTGAAAAAATCAAACGTGGAGGGAGAGGGGGTGCAGACGCCATACGACACTGTATGGGTGGCGATATGTCTATGATACAGGTGTTGGCTTACATCTGTTATGTATTACATTCCTAGAGAACTAAACATCCCATCTGCATATTGATGGCTGTTTTGATTGTTCTCCCTAGCTTTTTCAGTGCTATTGAATAGGCCTTACGTTTTGGTTGTTAGGTAAAATTCTTCACAATTCCGCGTTATTATTTTTTTTCACCACGAAAATGTGTGTGTAATAAATAAGGGCTGAACTAGAGGAGTACGAAGAATTTGTTGCTTGTAAAATATAGGGAGCAATCCAAAAGGAAATTTCTAGCATTTTCAAAGGCAACTTTCATTTTGAAAAGTGCTGAGAGACGTTCATACAATCAAACGAAATTAGGATGAATCAAAATTCAAAACAATATTACTTTTGTTTTTCATTTCTCGTTTTCAACAAAAAAAAGGGAAAAAAAGGACTGTTTTGTCTTTTTTCTTAGTTTTCTTTTCTCATTGAAAAACGACAAACGAATGGTTGTCTCGATTGTTTTTTTTTCGTTTTCAAATAAACAATGGAAAATGATTCTTTGATTTGTTTATTTTGTTTTCAAATCGAAAAATGAATGAACGAAACGCACACAGACCTTTTTTCACTGAAACGTCTAAACTAATTATTTTTTTTCCAGTTTTTGTTTGCAAATCAATAATTTGGAAACGCTTTTTTGTTTGATTTTTCGTTTTCACATCGAAAAACGTACACGGACTAGGCCTACCCTTTTTGCTCTAAATGTAAGCTAGGATAAACAGTGCTCTCTCTGGTTCTCGGTGTACCGTCACATTAATTGACATGGTTCCTTGACGTCAGTTCACCGCATGTTTTTGAAAAAGCACGACAAAAACAAGTAGGCCCTATGGGCTATCAAGGATTTCTTCTACAGGAAGCACTTTTTCTGGGGGGGGTCCGCAAAAGCACACACCAAGGACGAACTGATAAATTTTGTGAATAAATCAGTGAAAGGGAGCCAATTTCCATTTTTTAAATCCTTTCATCTATTTTTTTCAGTTCATTCGCTCCCCCACCCTTTTGGGGTGGGGTGGAGCACCCCCCCTTAACCCCTAGCTCATGACGCCCATGAAAATAGTGACTAACTGTACCGAACCCTCACAGGCAAGCACTCTCATACTTTTTTGTTTGCAAAGAACATGTATATTTTATTCACTGACTTATGGCCATTTACAATACATTTATTTTCTTACACAGAAATAAAGGTTAGGCCATTAACACTGAAACTGAGTCACAATATTAAAGGAAGCTATAAACAATGGGGTAGCTTATAAAATGTAATAACAAAGGCCTACATACAGCCAGGGCCTCTATCTGTGTATGAATATTACTTTTCAAGTACCGAGGTTCTCTACCAAATATTGAACTGGTCAGGAGAGAATAAAACTGGAGTGTATGGGCACTTCATGGTAAATGCACAAATGTAGGATTACAAACTAAATGCGAGACCTTAGGCACTCCCAGTTTTGTAAAATGTAAGTTTCAATGATAAAAGTACTCAAAAAGTACTCAGTTGAGTAATTTATGAGTAGTTTCATCATGAAAACATAATTTTACTAAACAGTGACGGTCTGAAGTCATCATTTTATTCTGTAATCTCCCATTTATGCATGTACCATCAAATGCCATGTACTTCAGCTATGTTCCCTCCTAACTAATTCAATATTTGGCAGAGAACTCAACTTGAAAAGTGTTCGACTACAACATGGAAAGGAATGCTCCTGGCGTTTTAAGTACGATTTGTTGACACATCTGTAGATCTGGCAATACGCTTTGGGCTTTCAGACGACAGGCAAACTTTCTGAATTTTGGCAAAGAGTTTGAAGGTAAGCCTTTCTACAAAATATCCCTGACTTCACCACAATTTGAAGTATTAATCAAGAATGACCAACTCATTGAGTGTCATGGGCATAAGCCAACCTCCAGTTAGTTTTCAGTCCAAATTAAAATTTGAAGTGGCAACTTTGGAAGAGGGTCATTCTATAAATTTGGGGTCCAATTTTTTCCTGTCCCTGTATCATCTGACAAATAACTTTGCAACTTTGGAATACAAGTCTTTAATTTCTAGGAGTGATTAAGTAACGCAAAATACTTGTCAAACAAATACACATGTACAAGAAGCTTACAGTTAATTTTAATGATATTCCCGTGTCAATTTCCACAGGTAGGGTGAGACAGTGACACCAAATATGTCACACGTTTGGACCCCAAAGTTATTAAGTGACTCAAGACTTTAATTTCATTGCACAGCAAGGTGCCTATACAGGTCAAATTTTGGTGAACTTCACGAAATTTGGTGTTGGGTTCAAGTAAACCACTCCGCCTCCTGTCGCGTGGGAACACTGACAGGCCTATTAGCTGAATTAGCTCACTGGGGACAGGCGATGCGATAGCCAGTCAGGTACTGAGTGACGTACACAAATCTCTGCACGTACCTGGCAAAAAAACAAAGGAAAGTAACAAAATGTGAGTCTTTCAAAGCTGAAATTGACGGAAATAAAAACTGAAGTAATAAGACGAGTATTTCGGCGACAGTTCTTTACTTTGGCAAATTAAATTTTCTGTTTTATTATAATGCATTATGTGTACCATAGGTATTCAAACACAAACCAGAATATGTTCTCGAGAGCAGAAAACGAAACTTGTGCACATTGGTTTCATTGGTGAAACATCCAGATATCAACTCAATCTGAACTCTAACTACAACTGTTACTTTTGCATTCTCTGCACCAAATGAGCGGGGAACAAACCGACACTATTTGTCACACTTCGGTTCTCCATCCTCCTCAGCTTGACGACTTCAATTGTCACGCACAAGCGAAAACTGTACGGTGGGAATTGTTTAAACAGAACCAAACTTTTTGCAAAGGGCAAAGAAAACTCAGTTTGCAACCCGGCAAACTGCTCACGAGACCAATTTGGGTGGGGGTGGGCTACTCACTCAAGCGTGGTGCAGGTTCTCCAGCCAAAGGGGCCGCATGGCTTGGTGACCTCCTCCCGAACGCGTTTCCTGACTCCCCGTACAATGGACTTCGTGTAGGTCTCCAGAGGACAAGTTCTACGGGCAATAACAATGTACTGTAATTTTTCCCTCCTTGTTATAAAGTCGAGTACATAACGATTTGACTCACTCTATAAATGATGTGATGGATTAACCCTAACACTCCTCAGTCCTCCAACAGGTGAAAGATTGAGGAGGGTTAGGGTTAATATGGACAATCTCACATTTATAACCTTACAGATCTCATTATTTCTCTGCTTGTTTCATTATTGTTAGAATTCAGTCCAAATGAACATAAAGTAGTTTACCCGACAGTTTTAAGAACAAAATTAATTGATGCAGAACATTTTCATTACAAAAAATTACAAGCCAGAATAAAATCAACAATAACAACCATCTACTATACATATAATTTGATAATGACAGAAAAAAAATCAAATCAAGAAATGAAAAGTACAAGGCAAATTGGATGTATATAGCAAATGGGCAAGAACTGGTGTTCAGCTAGATAATGTTGTCGGAGTCCTTGAGTATTAACAGCAAGCTGCGTTATACGCCTTCAACGAGGTAACACGGCGGGACATTTCTCACCTTCTCTGGCAGTGTAATCCACTGGTTCCCTTAGGGCATCTACAGATATTTCCAGGCAAGCACAATCCGCCTTGCTGACACTTTGGACGACACTCGGTCATCTTCACTGTGTTGAAATAAAAAATGCCCACACAAGTCCGGATTGAGAATCACCACGCATGCTTTGAAAGCTCCTTGCCTAACGAGCCCTCCAAACAGCTAACTAAGAGAGCGGTAAACTTGTGGAAAATTAAGAGAATATGCTTTTATGAAGGAGATTGAGAGGTATTTATTTTCCCACAAGAATCACCACGTCAGCACGAACAAAAATGTTCAGTGAGGCTAAAAATAATTGCCTGCCGACTCATTCCGGATCTTGAATCATTTTTCAGTCGACATTGAAAAACAAACCACAACACGTTCTTGTAAATTCACTTTTTCAAAAAGGAGACGAGCAGGTTTTCTTTTTCAGGGGGCTTAACGCATCAGGTCGTGGAGACTTTGATCAAAACAACAAAACATACGTGTTTGGCAGCGGGATCCAATGTAGTTGGGTGGGCAGCGACATCTGTTGTTTCCAATGCACCGACCACCGTGGAGACAGGGCTGATCACACCTCTCTAGCTCTAGTGAATCAACAAAACCAACATCAGAAAGGCTACTCGAAATGAAACGATTCACATTCAAAGAACCACAATAACTGGCCAAATGCCAAAACACAACACCTATGACATAATTTCGTTGGTTACATCCCAAAATGACGTATAGCATAGTTTCGATGATGAACCACAAAGTGACATATTGTGTACAGATTTCGAACACACAAGACAGCAACTATCCATTATACATCAGGTTGTGATATAACCGACAACTTCAAGAATAAATTCATCACTAGATTTTCCTTGAGTTTTTATGAACACAGCACACAATGTGCTTACCTATTTGACATCGTGCGCCCCGGTAGTTCGGTGGGCATAGACAGAAATTGACATTGAGGCAGGAGCCTCCATTCAAGCATTCAGGCTGGCAGGATGCTGGAGAAATCAGTGTGAAGAAAAGCGGTATATGCATTTGGGAGCAAGAGGTACAAAGTAAAGAGCATGTCCCCAATCCCACGGGAGTTGTCAATGGTGAGCCCCAGCGTTCAGGGTCTAGCGAGGCAAGAGCCCCCCTAAAAGCTCTTTCGGCATGAAGAAAAAAGTTTATTAAATGTTTGTTTTGACAAACGAATAACTAACAGCGGTTCATGGTTTGATGGAGAGATTTTTAGAGGCACTGTTGCTCTTGATCTCTAATAGACCGATCCATCAAGCATCGGATGTACCATTGTGCGCTTGTACATGGTGCCTTGAGGGGTACCGGAACAATGGAAGGTACCCCGCAAGGCCAGTTTTGATCCTTGTGGGGTACTAAAGTGGTACGCCTCAAGAATTTCACGAAATAGATATTTTAAATTTACTCAAAAAGGAGGAATTTGTGCCATGAAAGTGCCATTCATCTGTTGCAAATTGAAGTATTTTATATAAGGGACATACAGTCAAAATTTTAACCCAGGAAACTGAATTTGGTTGAAATGGCAGTGATTTGAAATTTTTTCTGTGTTGTGTGGGAGTTTTGTACATGAGAACAAAAGAAATACCCCACAAGTATGCATATGTAAGGGTGGGTGTTCCAACCAATCACAGCCGTGATTTATGTCCAACGAGCGTGCACTACAGTCCATCATGCGCGCATGGGCGTATGATGTGCAAACTGGGATATGCGGCATGTCATTGGAGAAGAACATGCGTTAAGTGCCCATGTGCACAGTGGGTGGAGCTTTCTGGATCCGTCTATTAAAAACACTTTGGTACTCACGTGTTTGGCACTGGTCACCGACGTAATTGGAAGGACACTGGCATTCGTTGGGACCGATACAATTCCCCCCGTTCTGACAAGGCAGCTCGCAATGGGCTATCAACAAAAAACGTAACTCACCAATTAGACATTCATGTCGCATTACACCTGTTGAAGAACATTTCGAACATGAACGCTTCTTGGCATCAATGCTGGCAATGATTACCTCTTATCTATTTGGCAGCACATTTTCGACAACTACATAACTGCCATTGTGCCCGCTCTCATCAGACCCGATTCTGACCTTATTCACAAGGTATATCTGTTACAAAACAGAGTCAGATTTTCCTAGAACTCAGAGGTGAAACACACTGCAATTGTAGTTGAGAACAGAATGGGATCTCAACCATTCAATATTACGCATTGAGAACCTGCTGTCATGAATTGTTAAAATACACTTTTCCCCTCAAAAAATGATTTTGAAAGAAAATACATCTTAAGAGTTCTGCTGAGTTAATCAGGCTCACGATTTTGCTCTAATGTGATACACAAAAAGAGCATGCTGGACAGCCTGCCATCGACATGTAGTGTAACCAAAGTTCAATGCATCTCAAACCTGCATCTGGAAGGTTGTTCATAAAAGAGTGAAGTATTCCAGCCTTCCTGGCATGTTGTCTCACCTTTCTGACAGCCTCTGCCGCTGTAGCCTGGAGCGCACATACACCGGTTCCATCGCAAGCAGGTACCGCCATGGGAGCATGGGGGATTACAGGTGGCTGGACATGGACAAGAACAATAGGTGTGACACAA